CAAATTCACATAAATCATTTCTTTCAAATATACATTTTTTTTAATTTTTTTTGATAATTCTCCCTTTATTCTTTTATTTCCTACCAAATCATCTCCCTCAAACACACTTTAAGTTCCTTTTACAAAACACACGTTTTTTTTTTTAATCTAAAATCAACTCGTAAATAAATAATCATACTTAAATATGTTTGCAATCTCAAAGTTAGTTGGTTTTTAGTTTAAAATTTTAAACTAACCTTTTTAATTCTTAGGATTTAAAACAAAATTATTTCCATGTAAACATCATTAACAAGTCTATACGAAACTCATTTACTAATGTTACGTAGTCAGATTTCCAAATCAAACCCTAAACATTAAACTCTGAATCCAACATATTAACTATATTCAATAATTTAAAAATTAAAATTAAAAAAACCAAAATTTTAAATTAGAATCTCGATCACGTTTTCATAATAAAACTTAACACCACAAGAAATTTTAGATTTGTTGCATAAAATGTGCTAAAAGGGAAAGATACTTTTAGTACTATAAGACTAAACATCTTGAAACTTCCCAAAAAGACTCATAAAAAATTACTCGATAGGCTTCCATCTTAAACAAACACAATCGATCCAACTACAATGATAGTAAAAAAAGAACAAAAAAAAACTTAAATTTTGATGTTCTCACCCAAATCACAATTAGTCAATTAGATACCTTTTTTTTTAAATAGTGATCAATAAAAAATAATTTGAGTATCTAAATTTAAAATAATAATTCTTATGATGATGTTGAAAAATAATATAGATATAATGTTAAGTTGAAATATGAATGTATTGTTGTAATTTTAATGATAAAAAAATATAAAATAAAAAAAAAAGATTGTGAGTGATAAGTAGATAAATTGATAGAGATGAACAAGAGGACATGTGTGGGCTTGAAAAGAAGGAAGTGGGAGAGTGTGATAAAGTGATTAGATTACCCCTCGTGCGCTCTCTGCGGAGAAAGGTTGGTGCTGCTGAATAAAGAGACAAAACCCTATTTTGTTTGCCATCTCTTCTATCATACATTGGTCTCTTCACACCACAGCTACCCCTTCTCATTATAGCCTTTGTTTCCTTGCTTTTCTTCATTATCTTTTTCATGGGGACGCATATCAACCACTTCTTGCCTTTTCACATTCCAACAAACACTCATTCTATGGGCAAAAATTATCCTAAATTTTTCAATATACTTCAACCAGGGACGTCGTGGCCAATTTTATGCCACTTCCATGCAAACAAACTCCTCCATCTCTTCCTTTTTCTTTCCTTTTTCGGCGTCATATATTTTTATAAAAACAAATTATTCAATTCATATACATACCCACATGATGTAATGTAAAGTAGGACTACATTAATTGCACTCACATATTATATTACTTCTTTTATTTTATTTTATTTCATGTTTAACATTTTCACATGATGAAACTTAAAAAATACAATTAATATTGTGATTTCATAAAATAAACTATAAGTTTTTAATATATTTTTTAATATTTTGAATTCTCACCCATAATTAAAAATGTATTAATCATAATTAAGAGTATAATAAGAATAGAAAAATAACTAATACTATATTGATATTGTAAAATGTAGACAAAAATTGTTAAAAAGTTAAACAAATGGAATATAATTACATATTGTACACAAACATTAATGTATTAATAACTAATTAAATTAAATTTGATTTTTTTTCCACAAATTTTGAGATCTCAAAAGTTTTAGTGACAATTTATTAGAAGTTACATCTAAATTATTTTGCCGTTAATTTTAATTTTTCTTATAGCAACGTGAGAAGATCTAGGAATAATCTTCTCACTCACCATGCTTTTTATTTGAGTTGGATAAAATTAATAACTTGATAACACACTTAAACTCCAAACTCTAAACATTAAACTTATAGTAATTGTATCCGCTTATAAAAGATACACGTACGTATATGATTAATTAATGAGCCCATTGATTAGCTTTGAAGCATTGCCATTTAATTTGATTATTGTGTTTGTACATGGTTTACTGGGCTGGGTGGAATGTTTAGGTATCATTATGACACACTATGATCATTGATGACGATGATGATGATCGTGTCTGGTACAATTGTGCAGAAACTGGTACCGATTGTTGTAATTTGCAAAGAGTGTAGCTAGCTAATGATGAAGTGAGGGACATGTATATGTATATGATAATGATATTAGCATGGATCCATTGGTTAAGATTAAGATGATGAATGAATATATCTTCCGTAGAGTACTTGTTGAGTGGAAGTGACATCGCAACTTCTCTTCTCACTGCCAAAAGATAAGGTAACACAGTACAGTACCATGCATCTTCACTCCTTTTTTGACTTTTCTATACTTCAACACTGACCCATCTTCCACGTGTCATCTTTCTATTTGGATTCTGCAGGACCACTGCACTGCCACTCTCTCATTGACATGTCAACCAACGTGGCCCATTTCTTTACCTCCTCGTAGCAGACCACAACATATCATTGGTAATTCATTTAAAAATAATAATAAAAATTCATAGAATAATTGAATCTCATACATGTTATTATTAGTTTGATTTTTGGTTATATGAATACCAAAACTTTATCCAAGGAGAAAAAACTTCTTTTAATAATCCTTATATTTATAAAAAAAAAATTAAATATATTTTTAATTCATTCAATTAAGGATAAATTTATTTTTTGTCACTTAAATTTAAAACTGTTATTTTTAATTCTGTATTTTTTTAAAATTTTGTTTTAATTTCTCAGGTTATTAATAACATATCTAAAAATAATAAATTGAGTTAATTATGAAGTATCAATTAAGTTTAATACAATACTTTCACTAATAAAGATATTAATAGGTAGATTTTTATGTGACAACTTTTAATAAATTTTTTAACAAAATTTGAATATAAGAACTTAAATAATATTTTTTGAAATTTTATAGATTGAAATGACTATTTTTAAAATTGAGAGATTGAAGATAAATTCATCTTAAATTTAATGGACTTAAAAACATATTTAAGTAAAAAAAAAAAACTACTATGAGAGGTGTTTTAAATGTAAGCTAATATAAAAATTGTAAAGTGCTATTAATATAAGAAGTTACCGTGATAATTTTTTTTAACCCACTCTTTATTATTATTTAAATTTATTAAGAATTCCAAAATTGTGACTAAAACTTGTTGATCAAATATAGAAAATGTGAATCATATAAATTTTTAATAAAATTCAGATAGTGTTTAAAAGGTACTATATTATAAAGTATACTACTAACATTTTTCATGTATGTTTGGTAAAAATGAAGGGGGGAAAAAGAGATAAAAATATGTAAATAATGATATATTTTTCTTTTATTTGATTAGAGAAAAAAAAAAGGAGAATTGAAAAAAATGAAAAAAAAAATTTGTGAATACATAAATTCAACTTTTTTCCTTATACATTCTTTTAAATTCAAATTCCAAACTTTTCTCTCCTTTTTATTTTCCTTACCCCATACTAACTAGACCTTAAGCTTCCATAAGAAATTAAAGAGCATATCTACAATTTATTTTACAATATATATAATAAGCATTTGGGAAATTTTATAAAAAAATATTTTTTTTACACCATGCATAAAAAAAAAAACTTAAGAAATGTTTATTAGTTGTTTTAATTTATCTCAATAAATTTCTCTAGGTAGATAACCTATACAAATATCTTATAACTTATATAAAACAGTTAAACTATATTTTAATTTGTTATTATAATATAACTTAAACATAATAAGTACTTATTTAATAAGCACTTAGTTAACTGTCTATTCAAAATCCCAAGTCCTATTATTATCATCGAGGAAAGTTGCATTCATAGTAAACCTTTTACAATATTTTATCTTTATTTTTATTCAACACTTTATTCATTTATCTTTTACTTGCTAGATCTTACTTTTAAATTTTGGGAATCGTATGAATTTTATATGAAAATTGAATTATTCACATTAATTAAAGATTTCAACACTTTATTCATTTTATCTTTTACTTGCTTGATCTTTCTTATAAATTTTGGGAATCGTAAGAATTTTATATGAAAATTGAATTATTTACATTAATTAAAGATTTCGACAAAGGTTTAAAGAAACCTCGAGTCAAATTATAATCCTCAAAATTTCATAATTAAGACCTTTCTCAAATTCTGAATATGTATTCAATCTGTTTTTTTTTTTACAACATTTTATTAAAACTTGATATTCTAATTCAAAGTAGGAAAAATTTAGAGTTTAAAAAATATTATTAAAAAACTTATATTCTTTTCCCCTTAAACAAAAGAGAGCTCAAATCTATACTTTCTTTAGTTTGTCAATTAGTACAAGACTCTATCATACCTTACCTGATCAGAGTTTGGAATTCATGTCGAATATATGAAGAATCAAATTATTAAAATGTGTGCCAATTATATATATATATATATATATATAACATTTTTTAGAATTAGATAAAATCTATACGAACTTTTTCAAAAAATTAATTATATTTTAAAAATAAAATATCTATACATTAAAAATAGATTCATAAATTCATAGCCATAAAGCATATTGTTGGAACAGTCGGAGGCTTCACTCAATTTGGCTAAGGAATTGATCCATTTATCCGTTAGTCTCGAAATTCATACATAGTCCTCCTATTTCCATTTACGTGTGAGAATCGAAATATAAATGACATACAAATAGATGTTGAAAATGACAAACGATCATCTTCTTTATCCTTAACACCAATTTGTATCCATCTCCCATTCGTCCAAAAAAACCATCGGTGGAAATATACGTTTTTTCTTTTTTTCTGTATATACATTTTTTTTAAACTATTTTACTCTTATACAATTACTTCTAATTCATTCACTCATAGAAATTTTACTCTTACAGACTCCTTTCACATTATCAATAAATGTCTTCATTTTTAATAATCACCTTATATTATATATTTTTTATTATTTTTAAAATAATTCACGGCGACGCAAAATATTTTTTTTCGATAATAATTATTTGACAAATTCCCTTTAATATAATAAAGTTACCAAATAAAAAAAAAAAGAATATTACAGCATGAACAAGCATTCACGATCAAACCGTAATCAAGGGTTCTTTCTGAGCGTCGGAGTCATCAAGCGCGGTGAGCATCTGGGCCCGGGAGGCCTGGTACTCCCAATCGGTGGTGCCCACCCTATACAACATGAGCCCCGCACAACAAACCTGGGCCGACAACAGGCCGAGCCAGAGCCCACAGAACCCAACCTTAAGCCAAAACGCAAGCCCAACGGCCACAGGCATCCCAATTAAATAAAACGCGCCAAGGTTCACATTCGCCGCCACGTTGGGCCGCGCAGTCCCCCTCAAAACACCGCACGCCACCGTCTGCGGACAGTTGCCGAGCTCACAGAGCCCCAGAATGGGCAGCGCAGCTGCCGTAAGCTTCAAAATCCCGTCGTCGGACGTAAACATCCTCCCCCAGCGGCGGCGCATTGCCACGGCGAAAAGCAGCGCGGAGAACCCCATAACCGCGGCTAAAAAAAGCGCGAGCACGGCGGAGATTCTGGCCCGGGTGGCCCTATTCGCACCAAGCTCGTTCCCGACGCGCGTGGAAACGGCGAAACTCAAGGAAGAGGGAAAAACGTAGATAAAGGAGGTGGTTTGGATTAAAACGCCCATTGCAGCCACGGTGGCAGTGGGGTCCACCAAGAGGCCGCACAACAGGATCATAACCTCATACCACCACCATTCCAAACACACGGATACGCAGCTGGGCGCCGCCAGGCGAAGCAGCGCCTTCCAGCCGGTGAAGCAGTCTCGCGAGGGAGGTGTCCAGGTGGCAGTGTGGACCCCAGTTATCCAGATATAGAAAAGAAGGAATATCAATATAGAGAAGGTGGAGGCGGCGGAGGCGGCGGCGATGCCGGCGACGCCGTGTTTGGATAGGAGAAAGTTGAAGGGGAGGTGGAGGAGGGTGCCGGCGAGGGAGGAGAGGGTGAGGGGGTGGGTGATGTTCTGCGCCCGAAGGTAGAGCTTGATGGGGTGGAGGAAGGAGTGGGTGAGGAGGTCCGGGAGGAGGAAAAGTAAGTATTTTTGGGAGAGTTTAGTGAGGTGGAGAGGCTGGTTGAGTAAAAGGAGAAGCTTTGAGAAGTGGAGCCATGAGAGGGAAATGGGGATGGAGGAGAGTAGGAGGAAGAGGATGGAGCGGTGGAGTGTGAGAGAGAGGAGTTTGGGCCTGTGGGCTCCGAAGGCCTGGGAGCAGAGTGGGTCCATCCCTAGGGAGAGCCCCGAGAGGACCGAGTAGCCGCTTATGTTGGCGAAGGCCATGGCCAGTGACCCTGCCGCCAGGGAGCTTTCCCCTAGCCTCCCCAGGTACATCATCGATACCATCGACCTTAGGTACAATATCAGCCCTGTCACCGCTGTCGGGAACGCCACTTCCCATACCCACTTTGCTTCCCACCACATTCCTCTTCCTCTTCTCCTCCACCACCCTTCTTCCTTCTCCTCTCGCTTTGATTCGCACATCCTCCTCCTTTTCTTATTATTCTTATTTCTTATGATCACGTAAGGATGCTCCTCCTGCTTCCAACTGCCACTCCAGAAGGATGCCCGCCTTTAAATACACATTCATTTCAATTCCACTTCCACCCTGCTTTTTCACTTTTACTCCTCATTCTAAATTATTATCTTTCTTTTTCTTATTATTTATCTACAACTCTTTCTTTTCATTTTTAATTAATATGAGTAGTAAGAAATTTAAATAATATGCATATATTTAAATATTCTCTGCCACGGTCACACCCTTGTTCTCGAAAGATGTGAAATGCATGAAAAGGAGAATAATGAAAAAGATATGAAGAATGGGATGAAATTAAGAAAAATTAGTTATAGAAATTCAACACGTTAATATAAATAGTAAAAATTTTGTCACCATGTCAGTGTAGTACAGAAAGGAACAATTCCCAATAACGGAAATGTTCTGTGCCTGTGATATTTGCTCAGCCATGTCAAGCCTTGTGTGACTCCTCTCATGAGGCACACTGCATAACCATTTTGGTCTTTTTCGGCAAAATGACTGCAAAAGCCTTTATTTTCTCCAAATTTTCTTTCCTTTTCCCATCAAATATTATTCTCAAAACAAATTTAGAATCACAAAATTTGTTCATTTTTTGCGTATTCGGTTTGAAAGGCCACCAGGATAAATCAAAAGAAAAGGAAAATTAAGATGAAACTCCTTTATTTGGTTTACCTTAAGAAAAAAAATATACCCTATTTGATTTGCAAGATGTAAAAGAGAATAATGGAGATACTATATTATTATATTCTTGTAAATAAAAATTAATATGATAGATAAAATAAAATATTAATAAATATTTTTTTTCATTTAAATCTTTCCAAATTTAAAGAAAAGACAAAGATAAAAATAATGACTAATTCCTACTTAGACATCATAAATACACAAAAGATGTATATTTTTCATCCATCATAGCAGACAGATTCCATACGTAAAATTAAGATTCGAAGACCTTATATTACTGTGTATTCTTGGATGATAAAACAATGCAATTACTTCTTGCATTGATTCTTTCCAAAACTTCTAATAAAATAAATTGCTTTTGGGTTTAAATAAGGTGCAGCTACTTCTATTCTATGATATATGTATATACTCTAAACATTAGGAGTATTCACTAAGGTGCTATTGACTTCAACGCATTAATTATATTGATAATGAACCCATCAAAACAAAGAATGTTTTGATTCCACTAATTAGGTTCTTAATGTTGATGATAAAGGCACTAGCCTAGAAACGCCTTGCGTATTGCACTTCGGTTATAGTTAGTTAAACGCAAGAATAAAGCAAAACCTGTCACAATTAGAACATAAAATCTTGCGGGTCAAACGCTAATTAATGTTTTGCCTTGTGTTTTCTTTTAATATGGCATGTGATCTTTCGCGTTTGTTAACTCGGTTCAAGAAGTAAAATACATAAAAGACAATATTACTTTTCTGGGGAACAACACGGCACATACACATAATATACGTATTCCTAAACTTTTGTCACCATTTTTATGCTTCCTTGATCACACATCAAAATCAAATTAGGTTCCACGTTGCCAAATAATTCGGAGTTGATATAGAATCAAAGTAATGCAAGCAAGGTTGGAATCTATATATGTGCCTACTTTTACTTTTTTTTTTTTTTTTTTGGCTATATATAGTTTTTCTAATTTGTCACAAATATAAAATCATTTTTCTTTTTGTACTAATTACTTAAAATAATATTATTCAAAATTTTATTGACCACATTAATTAATTTTTCTAATTTTTTTTATATAAAACTCAAATATCTAATTTATTAGAATTAAGAAAGTTAATTAATTTAGTTGATATAATTTCTACCGAAATAATTCAAAATTATTTTTAACATTAATAAGATTTTTATTTTACCAAAAAAGACAGGAGGTGGTATTAATTAATAATAATTAAAAAGGTGAAAATGGATTAGGCACTAATTAGTGGGTTCATATCTTAGTCGATTTGATTTTGTAAAGAATCTTTCTACTTTATAGTACAAACAATAAACAAATAACGAGATAGCCTGGCACGTGAGAGCCACACGTGGAGTGCGAGACAGTAGATTCTATTCCTCACTGCCTGCTGCAGTAGTTGTTGGGTCCGGCCCAGGCTTGTCTGCTAAATTGGGCTTAGATCTTAGACAGTGAAAGAGGTAATTTCTTTTTTTTTTCTTTTTCTTTTTCTTTTTCGGAGAAAACAAAGATAATCTGGACAAAAAGAAAAGGACAAAGACAAATGAGTGAATGTTGCAATTAATCTTATAAAAACTAGTGAAAACTGAAAATGAGACATTATATGCCTCGTCATGAAAAATAAATAGAAAAATAAAATAGAGATAATGAAATTCTAAAAGTGTGTAGTTAATTTTAGAATATTAAAACAATTAAATAAATTAATTAATACATAAAAATAATAATTAAATTAATTAATTAAAGGATAAAAAAGTCAAAAATATGTGAACACCAAAACAAAGTATCATATTTATTAATGTTGTAAATTATAATTGCAGATAATTAACACACGTTCTAAATTAATTCTTATATTATAAATTTGAAAATTCATGATTAAAAATATGATAACTTTTATATGTATTTTTTTATTATTTTGTGACAAGTGTATCATAATTTATTTTGTCAAATTTACAAATATTTTAGTTATTTATTCATCAAATGATTTTTTATTTTTTCAATTATTTTAAGTAAATTTCTTATCAATATTAAGTATAATTAGATATTTTTTAATTGTAATTAAAATATTAAAAAAAATATTCATCATAAGATTAAAAATTTAAATAGTATAACAACCTATCAGGTCATTATACTTAATAGTCCAATCACTAGCAACGAAAAATATACAACTAATTACCCATAATTATTAGGCAAGTCATATCTAGATATAGGTATTATAACATATATAAATAAAAATTTAATCAACAACTAGAGTAATAAGACTTCTACACAAGTATAGAAATATGTATAGTAATCCAAATATTAAGATGATAATCCTAGTCATTGATCAAACTCACCATAAACAACTAATCCAATTACAATAAGGTAGCTCCAAAAGTCAACATCGCCACTAGTTTGACATGGCCTCAACCAAGCTCTACCTCCAACCTATCTATACTTTGCTCCCATTCTAAGTATGACCATCGCAATCCAGTCACATGGAAAACATGCAAGAATAAACTAGTATTCAAAAGAATTAACAATAATCATTATAGAAGTAACCTCTACTATATTATCAAGATAAACAACTCAACTTATTTCTAGACATTACAACATGTTCTTAAACTTGAACAACAAAACAATACAACTCTTCACAATTCAACATAGCATGTGAATAACATAGATATCAACACATCATATGCATAACTTATCATTCAATTTGTACAACACCACAAAATGGCATATACATCATACAACTCAACCACATACGTACAACAAATCAACTACACATGTTGTCACAAATTTTAACTAGGAGATCTCTTACAAAAAAGGCTATCAATCTAAGTGGTTTGATCTTACCAAACTAACAACAATGCGATCGTTTCAATACAATTCGATCAAAAGCCAATTTGGATAAAAATCCACAACAAGATGGTTTTTCAGGTTTCACCAATTAAACTAAGAAGCCTAGTATTCTTAATAGGGTAGAACAACTTAGGTGTGAATCTACTATGGCATTAACTTGCATAACTAAGCCACCTATGTGATTATCCCGTTGACTATCCTCCAAATATTATGTCATTTCAGTACTCAGTTAGGAATTTTGGCCCTTGTTTTCATATTTTACTCAAACATTAACTAAATACCTAGAAGAGACTCAATACCCCACTCCAAGAGACAATGCCTACTCAAGGAAGGCTTTTTAACAACCGAGCTCTTGAAATACCACAACACCATATTTTCACACTGGGATCTTCATCTTTCAAAATCATTTTCTCCTCTAGTCATAAGTCAATCGATACATCATGCATAAATGCCTAAAACATTATCGACATCATTGTCTTAACAGTTTAACAATTAATTATCTATAAACATTATCCTAGACCAATGTATATAAAACCAACATCATTCATCAACATTCAACTATCAACAATTTAATCATCAATATACAATGAACTACATTCAATATTCATCATACATCATGTAAATAACCAGATCAATAAATAAGTTGAGAAAATTATAAGTTAAAAGGAAAATTAATCGATGCTTTAAGCGCCTTAGAGCACACTTGGAGTGATGAGAATTCGCTTTGAATGCCCAATAGTTGGCTTTAAGCTCGCTCAAACAAAGAGTAATCTTGAGAGTCTCGATCTAGTCACTTAAAGTGAGCCAACCCTTGCTCTAAGTGAGATAAATTCGCTTAGAGTGCTTAAGAATTCGCTTTAAGCAAGTGAAGTCAGGTACTACCTTTGTAACACCGTATCACCTTGCTCCGAGTCATCGAATCTTTCTTTGAGCGATCAAAATTAGCTTTGAGCGAGTCAAGTCAAAAAGCATATTTGATTTGGCCACACATACTTGCTTTGAGCGACCTCCATGGGCTCTCCAAGCAATCGAACCTAGAAAATAGGCATGAGTCCAGAAACGAACACAACGATTAAAGGACAACATAATCACCCCGAAATTTCTCTCATCCAAATACAAGATTCATACATGCAACTTAGAAATAGTCATCTTTTTTCATCACATAACTCAAAATTGAATAAAATGTCACATGCAACCATTAAAGGCATCAAGACCTTCAATTTCTTCATTATTCATCAAGAACACTAAGACCAACAAAATCCAACACAACATTAATACTTCTCAATCATCGACACAACAACAAATTTAATGAACTTCAAGCAATATTCAACTCAAAATCCAACAAGAATTTAGTAATAGTTTCATTTACCTTCAAATCAAGGAGAAATGAGGAAGAAGAAGAAGAAAAAGGAGAACTAAGCTGTGAGAACTCCACATTAAACCACCACTGCCCAATTCTCAACCTCCCAAGTTTTGAATCACCACTCGGCCACTAAAATACTCTCAAGGGAAGAGTTTAAGAGTATTTTAGAGTTTCTCTCTCTAACTTCTATCTAACTTTCTTAA